AACATCCTCTTACACCAGTACACAAAAAACTTGCGACCTGCGCGAGTGGATATCATATTGGGTACAAAAATACGTTTCTATAGATACTTTACACACAACGAGTCGTCTCGAAGCCAGAACGACCACAGTCGCGTTTATTTAGCTCTTCTAGCGACTCGGAAACTCAATGGGAAGATCTATATACAGATATATGAGAACGTTGTTCTCTCTTTTATCTCAGAGTCCTGAAACGGCATTGATTGTCCTGGCTTCGTGACACGTCAGTATATATTCTAAATGTCATTTATATCGAAGGGTCGACCTAAACTTAATCTGGAGACAATCGCGGGTGGTTACGATCGCATGATTGCGATATGTATTCTTTCGATTATTATAATAAAATATCTCCTATCAAGTGAGATCTCGATTGAACTGGCACAATTTACTTAAAGACGCCGTTTTCTTTACAAATGTATTAAATATAATTACGAGCGTTTATTATAATTCACCGAGAATATATAATATTTATTTTTTTCCACGGAAAATATTATTCTTTGTTTGATTGTGAGTGAGGATTAACGCGATAAGAACACACTTGAAGGCAGCGTGTTGGTTATCTGTGCATAGTCTACGTCTGGAATGTCTAAGCTATCAATTTCTATGTATATAATCTAAATAGGTACAAGGTCTGCTTTTTATCGACAAACTTTTTGATCTGGTGTACACTTACAATAAGTGGAAGTGAAACAAATATAAGTATATAAAAATATACTTTGTGTTTTACTTATTGCATTGTGCACCAGTTCGGAAAATTCCTCGATAAAGAACAGGCCTACAATAAAAAGGCGAAACTGAAAAATGTGTACCTTAAGTAATGAAGTACATATAATTAAGAAAAAAAGTTTCTCGAAGTTACTGCCTGAACTAATATCAAATACAGTTAACTTTAGAAAATTATTAATATATCAAAATATCTATTAAATATATTATTCACTCATATTTGCTGTGTAAATATATATATGAAATAAATAGGAAGAGAGAATCAAAATGTTAGAAAATAATTTTTTAAAGAATATTCTCTCTTCTTATCCTAATCTCTTCAAATAACAAGTAGTACGTTATTGCTTGCAGTTTAAAAACTGTTATTGTTTGATGATAGTTTAGATATTCAATTGGTAGACTATTTTTATTTTCTTGCTAGAGAATATAGAATATTCATGTATTTCTAATCTGAAAATTCTACAACGTGCAGTCATTTGCAGGAAATTGAATAAACAGTCCTACCTCCACGATTACAAGAGAAAATTTTCGTAGTTTACCTTTCCTTTGGTACTTTTACTAAAATAACATTTTGTTTAATTTTAGATGCAAACATACTAGAAAAATGTGCTATGTAATTAAACTCCTGTTTCTTAATCTCTCTATTGTGAAAATTAATTTGATTATAATAGTTGCTAAGTTCATATTTAATATGCAGTGTAGTCCTTAAGTATTGTAAATGATTTAAGGGGTAACTCTTTACATTAATTCAAGATAAAAACTTTATATGACCATATGTCCAAAATGACTTATTGTTAGTTTAAAGATATAGGATATCACAATTGAGGGAAAAATTTCATTTTCTCTAAAAATTTCAAAAACTATTTGTTATTTATTGTTATTTTAATGACATCTTATGTATATAAAGTACATGAAATAACCTGAGTAGTTTTCGAAATTTATGGAAAAAATCAATTTTTCTTTCAACTTTGACACCATTTATATTTGAAACTAATAAAGCCATTTTGAACATATGATGATATGAAGTTTCTATCTTATTAATGTAATGATTTACTCCCTAAAATCTTTTTGAATTCTTAAAAGAACCACCTTGTATGTATAGTTCGATTTGAATATACGAAATAATGTCTCTGTTTTTTTTCCATTGATCTACTTCGCGGCTACTCTCTCTCTCTCTCTCTCTCTCTCTCTCTCGCTCTCTCTCTCTCTCTCTCTCTCTCTCTCTCGCTCTCTCTCTCTCTCTCTCTCTCTCTCTCTCTCTCCTCCCCTCTCTGTTTCTCTTGGAAAATAGGTGATACCTTAATTATTGCCTTTCGTAATAAACCGCTGACGATTTATCGGTGGTAGTCCACGATCGACTAATCATCGATCTTAGCTCGAGGCGACGTGGATCGGTCGATGTGGGTTACAAGCCGACGAACGCAAAGCGAAACCGGGCAGGCGGTGAAATCAAGGCCCGTCACACAAAAGCCGTCGTGTGCTCAAGCCACAGCTCGCTGCAAGCGGCATACGAGACACGGCTCGACGTATATACTACCGGGGACAATAATTATCAGCAAACTTTATAACGAACTTGGACATAGTACTCGCTCATCCGTTGCAAGTCTCTGCCAGAATCGACGTCGACATCCTCCTTTGTCGTGAACGACGGACGATTAATGGCAGATCGCGTGATTCTCTCTCTCTCTCTCTCTCTCTCTCTCTCTCTCTCTCTCTCTCGCTCTCGCTCTCGCTCTCTCTCTTACTTTCACGTTCGCGGACGCTCAGATTATCGGTTCAATACGCTTTCACAACGGATAATCGATTTATTTTTAGGATGATGCGAAGGGATTTTATCATGAACTTTGTTTCAATAGTTTATCACTTTAGCTATGATTTCAATGCTGTTTTTATTTCTAATCATCACATTTCGACTTATTGGAAAATGTCGTTTATGAAATAATAATGGCAAGAAAAGATGTGATTATGTAAATGGAAATTTCATAATTCTCGGGACAATAGTTTTAACTCTTAACTGATATTTAAGATCATCAGTGACTACAGCTTGTGTAATTTTTATTATTTCTGAGATTAACATTATTGATTTTGTTCAGCTATTACCTCAATAAAAGATACTAAAAGCCGAAACATTAAGTATTGGCTAAAATCTTTAGATTCTTATTTAAATACTTTTTTAAGTATATTAATTTTTTTGCTTTTTAAGACAAAAGCATTATTTTTAACTTTTTTTAAGTCTTTTGAATACAAAAATAAGACAAATGCATTCAAAGTTTGTATTTATTTCAGCGTAAAATAAATTGCGATGATCCTTCGATATCATATGTAATAAAGAAAGGATATATTAATTAAGAGTTAAAAATATGAATTTATACGAAATTTTAAAGTTTGCTGCCAAGATGGTCATTAATAAATCCCTACATGTACGTGAATAAGGAATCTTGATATTGCTTTTTTTTTAAACATACGTATACGCGTTGTAATACTGAAATCGAAAGGTATATTTCCGAAAATATCTTCTTCGACTCTTTTTATGAAGGCACTTGGATATTATTGCTACGTTTAATAAATCGAAGATTAAATCGAATCTAAGACGCTGCAGTCAATATTCCACTTCTTCATTTCGCAGTTGGAATATTTTTCGCGCGTAATGGAGCTTACTCCTGAAATTCATTCTTAACTATTCTCAAGCTGTCTTCTCAGCAGACTTCATATTTCATAACTTTATATAACTTTACCAAAAGCAACATTATACCGTGCGATTGTACATTTCACCGATTTCGTCTGTCGAAGATATCGGGAGAAAATCTTGGAAACTCTTTTATTAAAAATATTCCATATCGGAATTCTATCTTCTCGGCACGTTTCGTGAACACGCTCGCAACTTATGAAAATAATTTCTCGACGATTAAGTAATATCATATAGTGAACTACTATTACAGCTAACACTTTTACGAGTAAGTCATTCTCGTCCTTCGTCAATGATCCCGAAGTCATCGTCCGAGCGATGTAACGTGACATCGCTGATGGGACAACAGCAATTCGCGCGAACATTTAGGCTCGTCTTAAAGCGCAGCAGGAGCGCGTCCTTCGTGGCACTGACATAATATATAATGCACGCTAAGACGTCACGCATTCCATCCATGTAACGGCCAGCCGTTCGTAGAATCGTGACAGGGAGCCATCCGTTCCTCGCAATTGGAACGACCCTGAACTACTCTTCATCGTCGTCCGACAATGACGACTTTCACCGCCACTTGAGACGTCCCCGAACCCCGAAGTCGGTCGTTCCGACCGACCGAAAACGCCCGATGTCTCGCCTCTTGAGTTCTTGTCGTCAACCCAAGAAACGTTCGTCTGATCTCCCAAGGACGCGAAACGCGAACTTGACACATTCTCGCCGCAGCAATTTTCTCTACGACCTTCTTGGTGGTTTCCCAGCTTGAAATGATCTCCGAAAGCGCTACCCATGGTTAATAAAGAGATATCCAAACCGGTCATTAATGACACATTAGATGACCGGGGAAAGGGGAGGAAGTAATATTGCAAAAGTAATCGCTAGATATGTTCTTGGTGATTTATGGGGACCAAACGTTGTAATAATTGGCAGGTTTTCGAGGTTCGATGAGTATATATTCGCAATCAATGGTGTGCCGACTATTGTGACATCCCCATGGGAACATTTTAACCGTGATTTCCAGTCTTCTAGGTTCGTCTATATAATTATCTTTATTTGGACCAAGTCGTCAGAATTTAAAAGGATCATCAGCATTTCTTTCTCAAAAATTGCCTAATAAATCGATTCGCAAACATTCGGAATGATCCCCTTTAATCCTCTCCACGGCAAGCAACATCCGGCCCACGTTTATTTTTCTTCATTTTCCTTTGCCGATCCTCCTTCCCGACCGTAAGTCGATGACTAGTTTTAGATAAATCTGCATCAGAGTGCGGTGACTCCAATAAAATCCAATTGTCGCCGCGAGTGAATTCCCTTTTCGTCCCTCCATGATGAGGATCTACGACGTCGCAACAGCCTGCTGCCTTTAAATCGCATTTCGTACATCACATCCTGTGCCATTCCTTTCTCTTTCTTTTTCACACATCACGTCCTATACCATGCCTCTCTTTTTTCTTTTTCTCTTGCGCACAAATATAAATCGACCACCTCGGTCGAGCGAACGATCGGAAAATATCCGACGCGACCAAGTTTCGAGAGAGTCGACTTCGATCACCCGCGAGGCTGATGGACAACGGTGGTTTTCAACTACGCGACGATGTCCATGTCGGACGAGGAGTTCGACGTGGTCACTGCCAGGCTGCCGAGGGTGTCCTCGTCGGTTAAGCCGTGGTGACAGCCAGTCGCAGGTGGGCTCAACGGCGGCAGGTGCGGCGACGACAGCATCGGGTCGCCACTATGCACGGGGCTGGTGTCGTCCTCCATGAGGTCCTCGAGATGCGACATGCTCAGACTCGTCGCTTCCTCCGTCACCGTCAGATCCGGCATCTACGGCAGAAAAAACATTCGACGTCCTGTAAAACGTACCGAGTGCCAACTCGAACTCGGATAATCGGACCTGAACTTGGATGGGATGCGAGGCGTGACAGGAAAGATGAGAGTCCGATGAGTATTTCCGAATGTGAGATCCACGGAAAGTATATAGGAACAGATACGCTAGAAATCCATTATAAAAATAGAGGTGTTTGAACTCAATCTTTCACGAAAGAGTGTAAGATCAGACGTGCCGATGAAGTCATCACAAGTGAAAGCGGAAATGGATAATGCGTTTATATTTGATCACATTCGTCATTGATTAATAATATACGATGCGGAAGATGAATTTATGCAAGCAATATTGAACATTTATTGCTATTTATTTGTGTATATGACAGGATATGATGAGATTTGTGGTGCAAAATGAGTGATGAATAATATAGAGAGTCTCAATCGAAAACTGTTAGATAAAAATATTCAAAGATGGAAAAAGTTCGGTATTCGTTTAATTAAGCAGTCAATCTTAAAAATGTAAGATATAATGATAGAAAAATGTACTAACTTTTAATAAATATTTGACTGAATAGTATTAGCTGAACATTTATTAAATGTAAACATATATTTATTTGATACAAGAATAATTAATTTTATTTAATTATGTCATTTTTTATTAGTAAATATTGATTTACGATAAATGTTAAATATTCAAACGAACGTTTATTAAAAAATTTAATGCATTTTTTTCAGAGTAATAAATAAGAAAATTAAGTATGATAAAATGTAGTTTTCAATAAAATTTTTTACAAAAATCCAATTTAATACTGGTTTGTTTAATATTGGAAATTATTTATTTTCAGCCTTTCGACCGGAATCTGATTTTTTCTTGACGCAAACAAAATTTCGCTCCTATTTTTGCTCAAATTTCAATTTTTATTAAATAAATATTTTAACATTTTAAGTTCAATTATTTTATAATGTAATAAAGGTATTGAAAAATAATCTTGAATTTTTTTGAAAGTAAATAAATTTTTTGTATAGAGTAGAACAGTAAAAACAAAGACAACCGAGACCCACATTGCAAATGGAGAAAATAAAAATATGATTGCAGATGGAAAGTTAAAAGTAGTGTTTTTAATACTCAAAATATATAATTAATCACTATCTTTCAGTATTAGATTTCTGTAAGGGACAATAAAAAGAATTAGAAACATAAGACTGATCACTTCCTTTCGACTTCAAATGATTTGAGAAATTAAATATTTAATATTATCAGAGCTTAACCATCTACATTATCTCTGTACACTATCGAAATAAGCTGATTGAAGCTGTTTCTCTGCCAGACGCGGTTAACTTCGGTGGTAACTTTGCAAAGTCACAGACGGGTCGGCTTACTAGAACCGGAATTAATTTCCAATCGCATTTCAGGTGCAAACGACTGTGATTCAATTCGCCTGCCGTTATATTATAGATGCAACTAATTCGTCGGATTACTTGCCGGTCTTTGCTACGCCGAGAATTTGTATGAATTATGTACAACGAGGCTCACTCGTATTGCACCGCATAATACCAAATAAAAGAAACTACAGGACAAAATTAAATTTAGTACAACATTTGTAAAACACTTTCTTGAAGATTTTTATAAATTGATTCATATAATTTCTAACCACTGACACTAGTTCAAATTTAAAGAATCGATTTCATCAAAT